GTGGTTGGGTGGTGTGCGTGAGTGGGTGGGTGCGTGGGTGGCTGGTGTGCGTGGGTGGGTGGGTGGCTCGTGTGCATGGGTGTGTGTGTTTGTGTGTTTGTGTGTTTGTGTGTGTGTATGTCTGTCTGTATATGTGTCTGTCTATGTGTCTGTGTATGTGTGTGTGTGCCCCCGTGTTTGTGTGCGTGTCACATGTTTGTGTCTGTGTTTGCAACAAAATTAAAAAGAGTCCGCGACGGAAAAAAAAAAAACAAAAAAAAACCACGAAAGCGGGAAATAACGAAAACAGAAGAAAAAAAAAGGTCGCAGCAGCGGGAAACGGCAAACTTCGAGGCGCACACGCGGGCAGTCGGGCAGGGTCGCACGCTGTCTACCTGTGCGTTGTTTCTCGGAATTCAACACATTTTCAGTTTTTGCCACTCTTTCGGTTCTCCACACTATACTACGGGCAGCCCTGATGAAACCGTGCTACTGGTCCCCCGAATTTCTTGACGTCAGAGGGAGTTGTGGTTTAAAAGAATGAGCCTTCAAAAAAAAAATAAAAAAAATCATTATTGACCCGCCTACCACACTGTGCGACGTTAGACGACCAGTCCCCCCGGTGTAAAAAACCTCAGGGGTACCGGTAGCGGCATTTCACGACAGGTACCGGTAGTACAGAACGGAAAACCAGACGGGCCTTGAAAATTGAATTTCTGAAAAAAAAATGAATCGGCGCGACGCTTATTTCACGGTCAAAATAATTTTTTTTAATTTTTTCTGATATTGTTCCTTGAAAGATCACGACTTAATCTACGGACCCACAAATTTTCAGGCGATTTAATTAATTCTTCTGAGCTACAAAAATCGCCAAAGTTACTGCTTGCAAATGGCGGGATTGGACCGGGCGGGCCACGAAAATTGACTTCGCGCAAAAAAACGAATCGGCGCGGCGCTTATTTCACGGTACAAATGATTTTTCTCGGGAACACTCCGGAACGACAATTGCTGCCCGCTCACCCGGAAGAGGAGCATGCAAACGAATCTCAAGCTCACGAGGAAGAAGGTCATCTGCCATGAGAACGCAGACCTCCTGTAGGCCCGTCGGACGGTTGTAACGCCTCCGATGTTCCTCCTCGGGCATGGCATCTGGATTTATGACCAACTTCCTTCCATTCAACGCTCCCGATGGAAGGTCGGCGGTGGTCATGAAGTCCTTCACGTAGTTGTTACGCTGTTGTAGCAACTCGTGAAACCTTTTTAACATTCGTCTCATTCGGTGAAGTTCGGCATCAGACGTGTGTGCAGGCAAATTAAGGAAATCCACTCTTTGATCAATCGTATCATCCAAACGGTGAGGATTGTGCAAGTAAAGTTGTGCAAACCGAGGACGTTCCCCTTCCCCCACAGCCAATGCACCGACACGATGATAGATCGGACCCTGAGCCCGAAGTTGGCCCTGGAATCCCTGAACGCCATCGCTCGGTTGCTTCAACCGCGAGGATGCGAGAGATAAATTGTTATTGATTATCCTCGCATTGTTTCGAACGAATCGGCCGTCGGGAGTGTGAGACGTCCAAATAGAAAGAATCTCATGCTCCGGGGACCCTTCTCGAGACCATTCCCATAGAGGACAACGTCTCGTACCTTTTCTGCAACATATTTTTGTCCATTTTTTTTTCATGATTCCACAACTTTGCACCACAATACCTGCACGGTTCTCGACCACCAATGCCGAAAGCTTGAACCGTGCTAGCATTCGCAACAATAGCCACGGTGTTCTCAACCGCTGCATACGGTGTTGCCACAGGTACGGACGAGAGTGCATTCATATCAGCAGGCGGATCATCATCCAAATCATTCATTTCCTCATCCTGATTATGCGGCTCACCATGTTCCCGACTGTTCATTGAATTTTGAATCACAACGGACGGATTGTGCGACTGCTCCGCTCTCCCCGACATACTTCGATATTGGCTCGGTTGAGAACAATGACGATGCGTTTCCTTCAAAGAAGAAGATGCACCCCGCGACTGGCCGAAGGCGGTTGCTCCAATCTCTCGAAGGATATTTACAGGGGCCAAACTTTGCCTTTCACCCCGCAAAAAACGTTTGTGAGCATCGATATCGTCTTTCCTCCTGTGATTCTTAATCGTGATTCTCAATGCACGCATACGTTTAACGTGATAGCCTACCCGTGTTTGGAGCCTTTTCTTTCGAGTGGAAATTTCATACAATGTAGACCTCGGTTCATCGCCATTCATCGTATGGACTTATTTTGTTCCACCGCCACCGGCCACTGTACTTTCAACAACTACCTCATGTGCATCGAAATCGGGGAAGACAGGCCGATGTACGAACGACGACGATCAAAGGTTGAAACGACGCGCGACTTTACCGGTGCGTAGTGCCCGAAGGCAGAACATACGATATCGTCTGTTGTGACTCGAACGAATCGGTTTCAATATTGCCGATCTCCTTCGACGATTATGAAATCCAACAAACTTCCTAACCATTGCGTTCGTGGAATTTGGCAAGTTTCCGAGAGAAGAGCATGTCTGTGCATGAGCAGTTCTGATAGAAGGATAAAGATCAGGTTTCACGCATCTTCGCCGCACATCTTCTACGAATGTGGATGACGAACTCTTATCTACATGTGGCGAATGAAAGAAAGAATCATGAACTGGAAAGGTTGTTTCGACCGTACGAACAAAATTTGTACGGACTGCATCATGCGTAAAATTTTCATCAGGTCATGCACTACGCAAGGTGATAGCCAGGTTTCCTTGGCAACGAATCTCACTCGTACCAACATCAACATTTTGTTGACTCCTACGGACAAAAAACTGAGGGCTTGCGATACCATCCGACAATGGAATTGTTTGTTGGAAAGACAAAGATTTATCACTACATTGTTCTTCCACAGAACAATCAAGCCTGCGATCAGGAGTTATCATCGGTTGTTTGCCCCTTCCGTCAGTAGTCACATCACCCACAGCACCTAGCGGTTGTAGTAAAGACCTTCGAGTCCGCCAACTTTGGGAAGGTGGCCGACCACGTTTGCGGTGTTCATCTTTTGATGATACCCGTGTTTCAGTCGTAAAGGGACAATGAGTAATATCCGAACGTACACACAATCCCAAGTCATCATTCGCCGAAAAAGAAGGATTTTGTACTGAAGAGAAATCAACTCGAGCGGAATCAATGGCAGGAGAGTTATCGCAGTTAGGTATTATTGGAGAAGACAACAAAGGAGCGATAACAGGTCTTTCACAACGGCGAACGTGTCTTCGACACTTCCATGGAACGTGCGAGGACTTGTCGGCAGACAAAGGAGAGTTCGGAGCGGCAAACAAATCAATGTCCTGTGAATCCTTATCTATGCTTTCATCCCCTGCCATGTGAACGGGCGTTCATGCGTCTCTTCCTAGGCGACTATAACGTAAAATTAGAACATAAAAATCAAAGGTTATGAGGAATATGGAAGATCTAAATATCAGTAGGATGATATATATCCCAGATTGTTTGTATACAGATGTAATTATGGTAGTAATAAAAAAGATATAGGGCAAAGCATTTAAAAATATATATATATATAGTAAAAGAATAAACGAAGTTGGCAAAACACAAAACGAAAAACGAACAGAAGAAAACGTTGAGTTGATGTTCTTTATTTTGTTTTCTTTTTTTTTAAAATGTTTATGTCAAGGGGAATGAAGGTTAAGCAACTTATGACCAATGTTTATGTCAAGGGGAATGAAGGTTTAGCAACTGATGACCAATTATATTTTGTTTATTTTATCCGTGCGTTGTATTTTGTTTTATGTATTTGTAAAAAAAATGATAATTTTTTTTTCAGATGTTTTTTTTTTTCCTATACACCCTTAGTATTTTCAGGGCCCCATGGGATCGAGTCATACGTACCTCATTTATCCACGTTTACCCTTTGTCATTCCTCGACATGGCTCACTTTCCTGTTCGTATAAGTTTGTGATTGGGAAAGAAGTTTCTTTTGACTCCAATCGCATTCGGGAGAGGCGGCTCCTACTTGCGGCCAGCCTTGGGTATTCTAAGTCGGTCACCGTTCACAAAAAAATCAAAAAGGGTAAAAGTCGTCCCCAACCTGCCCAAGTCCCAACCGCTAGGATGTAGTCTGTGGCACCCGTCCTCCTCGCCCAGACACAAGGCCTGGATCTCAGAAGTAGGCGTTGGCTCCACCACAACAACATTGCACCACCCCCATAAATGGGTCTATGCGGCGTACCGCACCTCTCCCCAGCCAGCCTCGAAGGTCGTGGTTCCAGGAAGAGTCATTCCTAGCAATTGAGGTCGGTCAAACTGTTGATGACCTCACCATTCCTCTCCTCCCTTGTTTGGGTAACTTAGACGAAATAGGAGCAAAGGGGGTAAATAACATGAGAGGAGGTCGTTCGGGATCGCATGGGTGCCTTGGGAGAAAGGTTACGTTTATTGTTACTTTCATTATTTATTATCGGACGGGTTCCTTCTCCGATATTCCTTACATTACACAGTGCGACCCAACCCTCCCAATATTATTTACTTTCCTTCATCTAAGCAGCTTAATGTTTTCAACGTGGAATGGAACATAATTATACGTACCTTGTTTTCGAATAACCATGCTTTTCTTTCCTTCGACAATATGTAATCGAAGACGCTGAATGTGTGTTGTTGTTATTTTGTTTTTTTATTTTAACTATCGATGCTTTTCTTTAACGATTCTCCATTAAATCACGTTTTCGTAACATACCATATTCGCATTGTTTTTTTTTTTTTTAGGGGGGGGG